TTCGGCGGGCATTGGCCTTTTATCTGGACCGTACCCGACCTTTCCGTAAGTCGTCTCAGCTGTTCGTGGCCATTGCGGAGCGCATGAAGGGCCAACCGATTTCTACGCAACGCCTGTCGGCGTGGATAGTGCACTGCATACGTACATGCTACGAGCTCGCCAACACGCCTGCTCCTCAGATCAGGGCTCACTCCACTAGAGCCCAGGCGTCCTCGACGGCCTTCTTGGCACAGGTCCCGCTCCAGGAGATCTGCAAGGCAGCCACCTGGTCGTCGGTGCATACCTTCACAGCACACTACGCGATCCACCATCAGACTAGAGATGATGCAGTGGTCGGCAAGGCGGTGCTGCAATCAATTATTCCTTGACTCCTACCCTCCTCCAACGGTAAGCTTGCGAGTCACCTAATGTGGAATGGACGTGAACAAGCACTCGAAGAAGAAAAGACGGTTACTTACCTTCTGTAACTGTTGTTCTTCGAGATGTGTTGTTCACGTCCATTCCACTTCCCACCCTCCTTCCCCTCTGTCGGAGTCACCGGCAAGAAGGAACTGAGGGAGGGTCGGGCCTGCAGGGATATATATACGCGAGGGCGGGGCGCCGCTCTGGCGGGAAGGGGACCCTGCGGGCCCGACGGGAGCCGCTGAGGGAAAAAAGTTCCGACGATTCGTGCACGCGGCGCGCGCACACCTAATGTGGAATGGACGTGAACAACACATCTCGAAGAACAACAGTTACAGAAGGTAAGTAACCGTCTTTTATACCTTCCCACTTCAGAGTGGTGTTGTGAGGATAAAATCCATTAATGATTGCGAGGCATTTTGATATGGTGATGATGATGATGGCCATACAAATAGATAGATTTTGAAGATCCTCATCTCTGAAAATCAGTCCATTTACCTTGCTTGTAATGAGGTACCCAGAATTACAGGTGTGGCTTCAATGGGAGTTCTGTGCACAAAGGGTTTGCTGGACCAGGCCCCATGTTTACTACTTTTAATAACTTCTGCCATGATTTCCATATTGTTGCCATTACTCTTCCACAACTTTCCATGACAAAACTACTGTCCTTGTTATTCCACTAGGTTCCTGATCCTGAGAGGTGCTAAGTACTTGAAATTCATTTAGCAAGTCTCACATTGGGAGTTGCCAATGCTCAATATCTCTGAGGGTCATTTCCCATCTGTAAAATTGGGATAATACTTCCATCCTCCCATTTTGTGTGTATGTTGTCTCATTAGACTGTAAGTTCTACAGTCCTTAGTACATTGGACCCCAGTCTCATTTGATGCTTATTGGTGCTACCAGCTACCACAATACAGAAAATATTATAATAGAACACACTTTTTTTTTAAACAGATTTGAATGAAGTTTTTGAAAGCTTTCCATCAGGATGATGTCAGGCTATTAGCATATAATTTTTAGATGTCAGTGGACAGGAACGACAACCAAAGAAACCATTGTCTTTGAAGTGTTGGCCTCATTTGTAAGATTGTGCAGTAAACTAGGTCTGTTTAATATTTATTAATTTGACCGCCACATAAATGAAATGCAAAGAAGGTACTAATAGCTAAAGTGTTTCCTGAAGGGGGAAAGAGAGGCATTTCAGTGTATGTTCATCATAGGCGTTACAGGATATACAGTATGTGACCACTACTATTAAAAATACGTAATGTTCTTCTAACCACTTCATTTTATCTCTTCTTTTTAATTATTTTAAGTGAACCACTGCACGTGGAAGGTGCTCTATTGGCAGCCCAAGAGATTGAAGTTCTGGCACTGTATAGGAAGCGACCTCATCCTTGTTTGTGGGGACCACTGGTGGGCTAGAAAAAGTGGATCATTCTCTTTGCTGAACCTACCAATGCGTGCTAATTTGAAGACAGATTTTTTATGACAGGCACTGTGCAATAGGAACTGAGTGGAACTACCAGTTCATTTCACACGAGCCACATAAAAACTGTCAGATAGGACCAAATCGCATTACTTACTTATCTGATCTGAATTTCAACCAGTTAGCTATAGCCCAATCAATTAGGATCCTGATAGCAGTCTCCTGAATCATCTGTTCTTGCTCACCTTACCTTTTTAAGTGTTTCTGTGCTATCCCAGATAAGACTTTGTGTGTGTATAGGCCAGTTCCTCACTGATGTAAATCATCATAGTTCTATTAACTTTAGCGGACAAAACTGATCTACACTAACCCAGGATCTTATAGCCATCATAGCTCAATACAGAAAATTATTAAGAGTCTGAATAATAGTCCATTTGGTCAGTAAATGAATGGAAGATTTCCGTGAGCTTTGGTTCATGCCCTTAGCTACCACCTTTGGTGCATTGCAGACATTACTAGATCTCGGTACACTTACCAGTATCCTTTTATTAAGTACAAGTTGAGGCGAATTTCTACTGTCACGTTTCAAATTCAATATTCAGTCCCACATGGGAAAACTCAAGTGTTTAATTCACAGTACAGACAAACATTAAAAACATTTGGATACAAAAACAAATCCATATGGGAAAAGATTTAATTTCTACTGATGCATTAGGTTCCTTCCATTTCTTACCAAAAGAAAAAGAAATAAATGGCATTTTTTATAGATTACCACAAGTAGTTATATAACAGCTGCTATTATTAGATAATGGGAAAATGCCTCCATTAGAGGATTTTTTGAGATGTCTGCTGATGATAATAAGGGCATCTTTCAGGTTACATATACCTATGGCTTAATATTTATGATAAAGAATGTTGATTTATATATATATTATTTGCAAAAGAATATTGGGAAAAGATATGGCGGAATATCAGAAATATGTCCAGCTCATCATCTTTATGATTTCTATACAACATAGTCTTTAAAAGATTTTACCTGATACCAGAGTGCCTACAGAAAAGCTGTTTTTCCTAACCAGAGCAAATGCTGGAGATACCACAAATTACAGGAAATATTGGTGCAATATATCCAAAGGTCTCTTCACAGTTCTGAACACAAAGATCTGTTCCTCTGCAAAAATCTCTCTACTGGAATTGGTAGAAGAACAGTTTCCCTGTGAAAAGCAAGAAAATGGAGACTGACGTCTCTGTTAGTGGCAAAACATCTAATTCTCTGAAAATGGAAATCTAGCACACCTCCAGTGTTTTCAGAATGGCTGAAAAAATGGTCAAAGATTTAATGCAAAAATTACTTTACATATATTACACAATAGTGATAAATGAAGTAAAATTTGAAGGATATTTGTATTGTTTTCTTGAAAAATTAAATAGAATTTTAAAGACATGTCTGCAAATCAATACAATAAATTACATTGTGTTTTCTAAATATAGTCTTATGCCTCACAGAGGTTTGCCAAAGCTATAAAAAAAAATCTTATATATATATAGAGAGAAAAATAATACAACAAAATTGTATTATATTTTAAATGTATAGATATCACATTAAATAAGTGTATGTGTGCATAATTCTCAACAGCTGTTCAAGAAAGATAAAGGAATAAATGAACGACAAAATCACTAGATTATCTAAAAAATTAACCTCTAGAGCAGTGATACTCAATTAGATCTACCCGTAGGCCAATTTTAGAATTTTACGACAAGAGGTGGGCCATTGGCATAGAAGGCTGACAAAATAAAAAATTCAGCTGCCACTAAATAAAGGCCTTGATTGCAACATAAGTATTAGTGTTTCTATCTTTTAACAAAGCTTATAAATCAACATTATTACCTGTCCTTTGGTTTCCAAATAGGCAGGGGACATGGGAGAGCAGCACTGCCCCCCAACCACCCCCTGTTCTCTCAGTGGCGGGAGGGGGGGGGAGAGTGTTAATTTTCTCCCCTGCCTGATGTATCATTGCTCCCATACAAAGAGGAGGCGATCCGCACCACCTGAACCTGGATCGCTCTGCTCTATGCCGGGTTGGGGTATCTGCCCAACTAGAATCCCGGGGGGGCGGGGGGGGGGCGGAGAGCACCCCACCTTCAC